CCACTCGATAACGATTCATCCGTTGGATAGCGTTATCCGCCCTTTGAATAAGTGGGGAGGACGATATCTGATTTTGATTTTTGAGATCCGCGCTAACTCAGCTGTTCGAAGCAACGCAATTTTCTCGTCCCGTTGCCTTATTTGTGAGAAACAGCGTTGTAGTTTTCAAAACAAAATATGACACAAGTTCTTAATAGGGCAATAGGCCGTCGGTAAATACGATTTTTAAGTCGCCAAAGAGCTGTGAATTAGCCTTACCATTACAAAGTTAAGTAAAATTTGCCTCAGGAAGATTTTTCTTGTTAAATAGTGATCCACAGGAAACGATGAGTGAATGATTAGAAAAAGCACATGGTAGCTGTAGACGGGCTTGGGGAGCTTTCTTGCGCTCTTTTATTTTTAATTTTACCTAAAGAAGATAACAGGAGACGATAAACTCTTTGCTTATCCAGTCCACATAAAGCGGAGCTTTATGTGATTTTGATATACCTCTAAAAAGGCATGTCATACTGAATGCGACTTTGATAATTTGATTTATTCAATTCCCTTCCTGTTTCAGTGACTTGGATGGTAATAGACTGGTTACATTGCAACCAAGAATATTTGACACCCTTGCCAATCTAGAATGGCTGTAAGTACATTTGCATTTGAAAAAAGTCAGATAATTTTTCACACTTAAATCCAAGTTCTTTTGCTGTTTGGAGCAATTTGCCGAGTTATGGGGGCGTAAAATATGAGAGAGAAATACGAAATAGCTACTATTTGCTTGAAGTAACAGGTTATTCATTAATTTGCATTACCTTATCATTTAATGCCAACAGAGTAAACTTTGTCGTAAACATTGCCTCATTTAGTGAGCGAATTTTATCCTAGGAATTGTTACAGCTTGAAGTGGAGGGCATTAGTTGGCATCAGTTTTAAACAGCTTCTTAGACCTTAGTGAGCTAGCTTGCCGATTGTCCTGTTGATAATGTGCCATAAAAGTTACCCTACTTAACTTACGTTGTACGTGCAACTGCCAGTAAAGCTGTAATCTGCACAAATAATCCATTCGCACACAAAATCAGACACTGATATCGTTTATGATTACACATTAGACACTATGAAAACCTTGATTGGTCGAGAGCTTACAGTCGACATGTTTTATAGTACATTTCGGATGTAAAGTGGGCTGTCATCGGTTGAAAGAGCGTGCTCTATCAGAGTACAAAACACGGAGCTGAGCCAAAGCTTTCACGCAAACTGCTAATTTGTACTTTGTTCGACAAGTTCCCGGACTTTTCTTTAGCTTTTTAACGTTAATTGAAAGTGAAAGTTCGGAAAAAGTGAGCCGGAAAATAGTAGCAGAAGAACCAAACAAAGGTTTGCAGACATGCTTAGCGCTGTAACTGACTTTACTATAACGTGAGCAGAGAAGAAAATCCTTAAAGAGAAAACGAAATGGACAGTCTGAGTTTTGAAGGTTTTCACGCTCAGTTAGATTGTAAGTTTACGTACGGTAATAAAATCAAACACAACTGACACTCGTATGGTATATATAGTTTCGTGCACAGGAAAAAAAAACAGAAAGAAACAGTAAAAAACAGTAATGATGAAAAATATAACCAGACTTGTATCAGTAAAGGTAATAGCATGACATGTAATGGTATTTGGTAATAATACCGCAAGTAATATTTAAAAATTTTCCAGATTCCATCTCTGCTGATAACGACTTCTCTCCTTTAAGGAGGTATATTTTCAGGCGTTCTAGTTTGTTGTATTTAACTCGTTAACAAGTATGAACGCACGCTGTACATAGATATCAGTCATATGGGTTCTTTCCGAGCGATTTATGGCTGATTTTGTAACATTTGGAGACCGCCAAGCGATGACGATTTCATTATAGACCTTCCGCAGGGAGAGAAGTTTAATTTCTCGGTATATCTTACAACATATTTTATGGTAATTCTATCAAAAACTTACACTTCCCTCGTATCGACATCATCTTTATCGATTTATAATAGAACTGAGACGAAAAAGCATTGATCTCTAGGACGTCGAGAAAAACCTTCCGCCATATATTTTCTTCTAGCAACTTGCAATGTTCGCTCCGTGGCGATCCCAGAAATCTTTGCGAAAACGCAAGGTTCCGACTACTGGCAACTCATCCAATAACTTGTATTAGCGGTGCAAAAAATTGTTTGCGCAATGCTTCACTGTAAGATAGTAGCCATTTTTAAATACTGGATGACCAGATCAACGGAACGGATATAACAAATGGAAGGGTTTTAATTGAGTGAAACGTTCCCCTGTTAGCAAATATACGTTATGTAACTAAGCAAGGAAAGAAAATAAACAAACAGGAAGTTGAAATATTGTTGATTTCATAAATTTCAATACTCTTATGTCATTGTTACAACTAACTTGCAATTGACAACTTTTATCACAGGTGGTTAAATAGAAATCAGTTAAAAGAACTACCACCAAAGATTTTTGATAAACTGACTCGGCTGCACTTACTGTGAGTAGCACTCTCTGGATTCCTAATGATATAGATATTAAGACTGGGTAAAATCCGGACATGGCCAATCCTATTTTTTTTTCATTAAATTGCGATATTTGTTCAATTCTATCAGACACATTCATATAAAACTATTCCTCTGTTCCATCATTCGCCTGTTTAACTTCGGACCTTGCTCGCTTCGCAAGTTTAGCGGCCCTTTGGAACATGGGTCGCTGATTCAAACGGTAAAATGCTCTCTCTTCCAAAAAAAAGATTACTGTAAGATGTTTCTTGTCTTCTGTCACAGCAAGAATTCAGAAGTGATATGTTGGGTTTCTTTAGGCACAAAATAATTTGCTTCAAAGGCTTTCTTCTCTACTCAAAATAAGCTGGACCCAATATCTATAGTGCGAATGTCGATCTACGAAGATACTCAATAAGTGATATCGGGTCAAAATCGGGTGAAGATCGGCATTTTTTATTACTTACGATCAGCCACTCACTCACTTACTAACTCACTTAGATAAAATATCTGGATTCGCCTCCTGTAATCTCCATGGGCTTATGAATTTTACACGCATCCGTTTCCATTTCAATTATTTTAAACGGAAGAAAAACAAAGTCGTTTGAGTTCAGTGATAATTAATGTTAAAATAAGCATCTGCAATCAGATAAACACGGGCTCTTTTATGAGTGGCTTCCGCCTGAGATGAAAATTAATGGGAGGTTAGAGAATGAATAACCTCTTTCTGATTTTGTGTATATGTTGGCTGAAAATGTCCTTGGCTGAGAGATTGTCCTCAAAATTTTTAAGTTTTTCCTCGAAGCTTCGCTTCTCGGCCGAATATTCAGTTTTCGGTCAATTTCTCAGAAGTGGACTTTATCAGCCGACATACCAGCCGGCTGAAAGGGGTTTATCTACAAACTAATGTAAAAAGTAAATTGTGGAGGTATTACACTCGAGGCCACTGGTTTTGGTTATGGCAAGTCGTGTTTTATCAATGCGTTGTACTCCCACAAAGCCCATCCATGGTTCTTTATTAACATCAAGTGGGTGGGATGAACAAAGTTGATTCGGTGGGGAGACTCTTCTCGGCCAAGGCTTTCTCAAAAGAAAGATACAAAGTTAATACATCATTTCTCAGTATCAGGGTCACTATGCTGATCAGTCTAAATGAGCGACGAAGCTAACGGTTGGGAGCGAGGCAACTTCTAGTAGGCTCTTCATTCTCGTAAATGAATCTGACCACAACTTATTGAAATAGATCATACTTGTTTATAGTTACTCATTCTTCGAATGTTTTTATCCTGTACAACCCGTGGGCATGAATTGCTATTTATTACTCCGAAAGGATAGTTTACGAGATCGATCACAGAGGGGGGCAATTTTTTTTTTCAACTGTGTCTTCAAAAGCATGTTTCTTGTTCACTTCACTTTGAACGCAACCATTTAAAGCATAGTAATCAGCATTTAAGAAACCAATTACCGAAGCAAAGCGTTCGTCTTTTCTACTCTTGTCTCTTAAAAAACTAGGTGTAGGTAAAGTTCAACGTTTTTAATTTTTTCGGCGGTTGAAAACTCAATTTAGTAGTAGACTGTTTGTTCAATCAGTTTACTGGCTGAATAACCTACACAGGATGTCGCGAGAACAAGTATTTTGCATTTTTTTCGTTTTGTTTATTTTCTTCGGTTTTGTTATCGGGAGCCAAAAACGGTTGACCCACATAATTATAGAGTTGGCAGATCAGAGTTCACCTAATACCTTAGTTATTTTCTCACCAGCTATATGTAACATGGACAGTTCAATGAAATAAATTAAGTATATGGTTAATACAAAAATTGAATTTTCCGTTTATTCCCTTTTAGAAATTAATCACCATGAATGTTATTACGTCTACATTGAATTACCTTGTATGAGCTGTGTATAAATCAGGTAGAAACACGATCGTGAGATCGTCAAAACCAACGTGCGATACGGAAAGAAAGTATTGTACCATTAGAAAACAGTGGGTGAGCAGATCATAGGGAAGGATAAAACATGTAAACTGCTTTCCAATGGAAGGAAACATTGTCCTGTTATAGCAAAATATGCTTCGTGCAAATTTGCAAGGCAAAATGATGATACTGAGAGAAAATGTAAATATGGTAGATTTCATGAGTTTCAATACTTTATGTCATTGTTATTACTAACCTGCCATCGACATCCTTTATCACATGTGGTTAAATGGCAATCAGTTAAAAGAACTACCACCAAAATTTTTGATGAATTGACTCAGCTGTATTACTTGTGAGTGGCACTCTCTAGCTGCTTAAAATCAGGAACAGGGCCAGTCCCAAATTATCCTTGATTGCAGTATTAAATATCTATGAAAGATTTTCTCAAGATTTTGTCAGAAATTGTTGATATGTAACTATATTTGATAATGATTTGGCTTGAATTCACTTAACTTACCTTACCATTTTGGCGGCTCTTAATTTTCACGATTGACAATGTCATCCACCAGTTCATTGACCACG